GTCTTTTATATTTATTGAGTGTTTCCGTCCGTCTGCTGGGGTGTTGTATTCCTCTACTAAGTTCATCACAGGTTGACCTCAAAAAGTAAGTTTGAAGCAATCTTCCCCCTCAGTGATCAAAATTGTGTTGAAAGGGCATAGCATTGGAGTTATAAGCATTCAAGTCCTTTTTCTAGCATCTGCGTTTGTTGCCATTTTTTTGTCCAAAAGTTGCCAAAAAAGTTGCCATTAATTTTCAAGCTTTCAACTCTCTGTGACAACGTAGCAAAGCAATATGTTGATAGAGATAACTTCATCTAAAACACCAGAAATTCTTGTGTTCTGTTTCAAGCATCCAGAATACCATTTGTAGCCACACAGAGTGTAAAAACGTGAAAAAAAGGTTTCACAACAGAATAAAATCAAAATTAGAACAGCAAATTAATAAATTACCACAAAAATTAACAAATAAGGGCATGTGTCAACCCATCCATAGATTGGCCGTTTTAACCCTAAAGGCGTGTAATTCAAGAAGAAAGTACAGGATCTAACATGTAGATCATGGAATCACACACAAGGGGCCTGCCAGAGTCAGCATTCGGTTTTGGTGGCGACATGCTCTAGCATAACACATTTTTTAAAAAAAGGTAGGAACAACATTACGCTATATAAATATAAAAAAATGGAAAAACAACACATCAGAACAACGAGGGAAAAAATTAACACACCAACAAAATAAAACACTACAAAGAGGGAAATATGAAAGAGAAACGGCAATATAAATAGTATTAATGTAGCCTACTCATGTTCTTCACTTGAAAATTACAATCAACGTTGTGTTAACAAGTCTTATAAAGTGGAAGATTTCTCACAGAGGCGAAGTGAATCGAAAGGGAAAATAAACTTTCTTTCTTAAAGTAAAGAGGTTCGGTTTCTTTTTTTTTTCACGAATATTATTCCCCGTTTTTTGTTGTTGTTGTTGTTTTAAAATTAATTTTTCTTCCCAGCAGTGGTTTTTTGTTGAAAAAATCGCGTCCGCGATTCGTGGACCAAAAAATGCCAAAAATCGCGGCCACGACAAACGCAGATGCAAGCTTTTTGGTACCTTCTACACCAAAAACAAAAAAACCCTAGTTTTTGTTGTGTTGCTTTTATCAAGAACAGCAAGAACATTTTAAGCCTTGACTGTAGCATTAAACGGCGTTTTGGTGATGATGAAAGGAACATCTTTGATAGAACTTTGAGAAAGTGTAAAAATAGAAAATTCTCAAAATCAAAATTTGGACAAATGGACTGCTTTCGAAGATAAAACATTTACTATCATTACAATCATTTTCACACATGAATATAAGGTTGTGTGAGTGTGTGTGTGTTAGAGAGAGAGAGAAAGAGAGAGAGACAAATACTAAACACAAAGTGATCAAATAACAGAAACTTCTCAAAAGCCAACAGCCTTGCCTTCAGATTAAACAATTTTTTATTCAGAATTCGTAACAAATCTAAATATAAATGCAATTTGTAAAAATCACAGTACTCAAAAGAGCAAATATCTGCTAAATTGTTAAGAAACAGTAATAGTATAATCCTTAACGGTACACAGTTGGCAATCTGCAGTCAAAACCGGATATACAGTACCGCCAACATTGGGCCAAACATGAAGTAGGTGGTATAGCAGGTTTAGGTGTGTAACAGTAACAGGGTTTTAACAGTCCCATGTCAAGGGAACTGATTCTTTCAGGACTATATTTTAACGAGTTATTTCCTTTAGTCCCAAACCAAACCTTGGCTTTCCTGCCTGTAGCAAAAGCAAACTTGCAGGTGTTGAACTCTGTGTGTAGTGTGCACCTGTTGTGGTGCAAATTTACATTAGTTTGTCAAGGACCAAACAACTCAGGCAGTTGGAAATGGCAGTTTAAATGAGCAATCAATATCCTGAAATAGATTTTTTTTTTCATGCATTAACAAAGCCTGCTGGTGATGTAACTGGGGCAGTAAACCAGGATGTGAGCGTAGATCACATTTGAACGCACGGCTGGTCTCCTAACAAAAGGGGAGAGCTATTTGTGTCGCGACGCGGAGGAATCAGGCGCTCATCAATATTTTGACATATGGAGTTATTGGTATAACCTTAAAGCTTATATTTATTTGTCGTTCTTTAATGAAAAAAATACCCATCTACCTGGAATATAAGTCGAGATATTTGCAATTGAAGGAGTTGGGGGTCGCCTGGTTTCAGGGGTAACATTAGAGAGAAAATGGCTGCCACAGTTTGGCAACTTCCAAAGCTTGAGAGTCCTTAGAAATTTCAAATTTACATTTTTGTGCCTTAAATTTATTTTTCAGTAAAATACGCACAGAAATGTGTTTTTAAATGGACCTTAAAGTTAAAGGTATTGAGTCAAACAACAAAAATTCGATAAATATTGCAAAACGGGCAGAAAAATGCTAGTTTCTTCGATTTCATTATTTTGACGAGCGCCTGATTTCACCACGATGCCTCACATTTTATTTTCATTCACTCATTTTTAACATACTTGTTATGAAGTATAGATGAAACAATTTTCAGCAATGTTCTATTATCTATCAATTAATCTTAGTCAATTGAAAAACAGCATTTAAAAACAGTTTTTTCATCCCTTTCATAGTATGTGATCTCTGCATTAAAAAGCACCATGAAGTTCACATATTTTTGTACATTTGTTACCGGTAAGGTACATAATTTAAAGCTGGAGTTCGACTAAAAACATCGTCACCATTGTTTTATTATGTAACCAATTTATTTTGAGCAATTGCAAATCACAAATCTTAAATACCAAACAATTTAGTCTCCACAACAAGCATTGTTTCCAACAAGTGGAAATAACGAAAATCTAAATTGTATTACAATCAAATACAAAAATGTTAAAACTGCCATGGAAAAACAATCTTCGGCACAATCACAAACTTGAATACTTTGAATCATAGTCATAGCCTTTAGAATGTGCACTTCCTCTAAATTTCTCTCAAAAACTGTCACACCATACAGCAGGCTCAATACTGAGTGAGAGATCCTTTTGAAAAGGAAGTAAGATAGAAAAATGATATGCAGTACAGAGGAGTCTGCTTAAACCGAAATTTGCAGGACAACAGGGTTTTCTTTTGTTAAGCTGGGGTTTTGGTTTTTTTAGGTTAAAGAAATTGCTCAAAGAGTCTAAAATTTGACTTTCTCTACATCTGAAAATGTGAGACGTTAGACAGTTTTTGCAGCTGTTTCTAACTCTTGTTGAAAAGCAGTGACACTGGACAGCTCTTTTAATGAAGGAAATCAAATATCTAAGGTAATAAAATTCACTGTCGTTTGCAAAAGACAAAATATCTTCCCATTGCTGTCCCCTCATGTCAAATACCAATGGTAACCACCTTTGGGGAAGGCACAATGATCAATCCAGTCAATATGATAAACTGATTTTTTAAAACTTCAACTCGGACAAAACAACTAGATCAGTGCCCATAAAAAGTGAATAAATCACAGCCTCAAAAAAGTGAACAAATAATGGAATTGACAAATGTCAAAAAGACAATGACTTTAAACTTAAACAGTTAACAAGTGAGAGAACAAACATTAACAAATGCCCTAAAGTTAACAAATTGCTGCCAAACAAAAACTGAAAATTTGAAAAGCAACTGTAAAAACAAACTCGTCTATCAAAAGTTACGCAAAAAAGAAACCAGGGCTTGATATATTTCGTTGAAATAATTGGTTAGCAACCAGATAATATGAGAGGGGCTACTTCTGAGCCAAAATGTTTATTGACAGTGAACAATGGTAAGGTATATTCAGATCTTTTTTTCTAACTATTTTCCATGAACTCTAAGCCCACACCTCTCAATTCTAGGTTACTGTTCTGAAACGGCAAAGAGTCTACACAACAAGAGGATCCACTCCTCTCTTTGAGCCAATTAAAAAAGTGTCCTCGAAATACGGTCGCGCCCTCTTCGCAAATGCGCACCCTTTACGAACAGAGTTAACCTACTTG